TGGGGCTCCGACTGGGGCTCAGGGGAGCCGGACTGGGGAGACTGGGGAGACGGACTGGGGAGACTGGGGCTCCGACTGGGGCTCCGGGGAGCCGGACTGGGGAGACTGGGGCTCCGCCTGGGGCTCCGGGGAGCCGGACTGGGGAGACTGGGGCTCCGACTGGGGCTCAGGGGAGACGGCCTGGGGAGACTGGAGCTCCGACTGGGGCTCCGGGGAACAGGACTGGGGCTCAGTGGAGATGGACTGGGGAGACTGGGGCTCCGACTGGGGCTCCGGGGAACAGGACTGGGAAGACTCTCGGAGACGGGGCTCCGGGGAACAGGACTCAGATGATGACCCAGCGGGGTCAGGAAATGGTGATCGCTGGCGTTCGGCAGCAGGGTCAGGAACTGGTGATCGCTGGCATTCGGCACACAGGACTCAGGCTTTAGCTGTGGCTCGGAAGCTGAAACCAGAGGTAGCTGCGACACGGTAGTGGCAGCTGAAACCAGAGGTAGCTGCGACACGGTAGTGGCAGCTGAAACCAGAGGTAGCTGTAAATTTTTACACTAGTTTTGTGTGTACAAAAAAAAGACAAAGAACATGGTAAAACTATAAATTCACAAGTCACATTCTGCAGTTACACAATTTATAAATAACATTCCTCTCCGTCACCCGCTAGATGTGTTGTTATGAGATCATCTGAAATGAGACATCATGTAAGGTTTTTGCACAAAATAAAGGGCTGGACCCAAATGCAGGGAGACACGGGAAACGGAGGGTTGGATAATTGTGGGTTTAATTGTAACAAAGAAGTATTCAACACAAAAAGGTGTGAATCACAAGTCCATGAAAATAAAACATCCAAAAAAACAGGGAACATGGCAAAGGGGAGCAGACACGAAACGTACCGGTAGGAAATGGCAGACAGATGACAGACGGATCAGGTTACGCCATAGACAAACGAACACTGAGCCAAGAGACACACATGGTTTAAATACATAGGGAAGGTGCAGGTGATTAGACAGAACAGGTTTCAATTTAGGGTGGGGCGACGATCACGAGAGGAACAGACAGGGGCAGAAAGTGAAGTGAAGCAGACTGAGGAGGTGCAGGTGATTGAAAGCATCAGTGTCTAATTAGGGGAAGGGCAGACCCTCACAGGGGCAAGACAGACAAAGGCAGGAAATAAAGTGCAAGACACATGGAACATCTCAATAAAACAGAATAAATAACTAAATCAAAATATAAATCGTGACACATCAGGTGACTTTTGAAAAATTGAAAGTCAAATTCTAACCCTGACAGTGACCATTACATGGCAGGCTTCTTAGACCACTGAGGTGCTTCTGCTTGCATTAAAAATTAAAAAGCAGTCACATGAGCAGTGTTGCTTTTGAGATGGCGGTTGGTCCAGCATGGCTACAGACTCTTTACTAATCAGAGTACATTGTCAAAGTGAAAGAAGATAATATGCAGTGCTTTTAAAGGTGAGTGTTTACCACTTGATACAACAACAACAACTATGCTGTCAGGTCAGAGGGCATGCTGATGGTGTCAGCTGTCATATGAGCATCATGCATGTGTTAGAGGCAAGCAGACACTGAGACACAATCTGTTGTCCACACAGTGACAATTAGCGGGAGAAAACTGTACATTCACATGGGCTTAAAGGCGTCTTGTGAGGCTTTGTGTCAAGTGGTCAGAGTGTAAGTTGTGCTAATGACGACAGAGCAAGGATGACATTATCAATTCGGGACGACTTTATGTTACAAAACGAAAGATAACAAAACCAGTCAGTTAGGTTGAGGAAAACCATCATCAACATAGCCTTAGGCTAACAAATCAATAACAACACGTTGGGACATGCGGTGTCAAACACCAGTCTCATGGTTAAATGTCCTGTGTTTATTGAACCCATCCTCCTCCCCTCCCGCACACTATAAGTGGTCTTTGTCAGTATTCCATACTAGTTCACCATCTCTGACCGTCATGTGGTTGCATTTAATTTGTGGGTCTGCTACAAAAAAGGACCCTAGAATCTTAACTCACTCCCTTCCTTCTCTTGGTCACCACAGCTAAATACATGACTGCCATCTAAATGTGTCCTATTACTGTCTTCCAATCTTTAACTCTGCTGTGCTAAATCAGTCCTTCTGTCTCTTTTAGTAGCAGGGAGTCTTTCTCATTACGATTTCAAAACCTCTAGTTTGGCTTCCATGTTCCCTCATTATATCTGACGGGGAGTCTGGCTAGTTTGGGAAAAGGGAGGCAGGCATTCAAAGCCTGTACAGAGCTCAATTGAAATTACACAGCGCTGTTCAAAACCACATACTCATAAAGCAACAAAAGGGGCCTTCTTGGTGGTCAATGTGGTGACACACACCATGTTTACGGATGTGTGTGTGTGTGCGTCTCTCTGTATTTTGTGCGTGTAGTTCATGTTGCATACATGTAGTGGATGCAAAGTTGTCTCACAGCAGGAATACTCACGACTGTGCTCTCTAGCAACAGTGAGCCACACTGGGAATGAATACTGCATACCAACAACACTGACTACCAAGCACGTTGCACACGTCTGATGCTTTACCTTTTGTGCTTTTTGTACTTCAGAATAACAACAGTTCTTGCTGTGAAATTATGCAGGAGTCCAAGGCAAATTCATTCAGTCACTTAATCTTACTAGCATTTCACGATATTTGTTTTGTCATGCAAATCTTCATCGCCCTGAAACTTCTTGATGGATTAGACAGGTTCTTTGTCAGCGAGGCTTACAGCACATCGCTACATTATTCTAAGTAAGCTACCTGTATCACAATAAGCCGAGGAGAGGATGTGCATTATGGAGAAGAATGCTTTACCTTGTGTGCTAAACAGAAAGCCCTCAAGTGATTGAAATGATGTATTCTCCATGTTAAATGTTTGATTTGGATTTTGCAAATATGTAGGTATTGGTGATGATGATCATGTTGCATAAAAACTAGGTTCCTCTCTTGTGTGTGGGTGTGGGATTCCTGCTCTTCTTGTGAATCACTAACCAAGGCATATGGTGTCTGTGACCTGCAGGTGCTGAGTCACAGGTGTGCAGAGAGTAAAACAGGAGGGGAACCACACTGTCAAACATTCATTTGCTACGACGCTGTCCAATTAAAGTTGCTTCCGCTGCAGTCTTTTTTGATGATGCTGTTATTGTTGTGTACAGAAGCGAATTGTTATTGTTGTTACCTGAGTGGAAAACGAGTGATAATAACAGCATGGTTTTCATGCACTGTGCAGCTAGAGAGGAACGATGTAGGGAAAAGAAGTAAAAAATCTCATCCTACTTACACAGTAATCCTTTAAAGAGGGCTCTGCCGTCTTTCACACTTTGATATATCCTTTTTGAAAATAGCTGGAATAAAGGCTGAAACAGGGTTATGTTAAGGGGATTCAGGAAGATAGAGAAGTTTAGAGTTATTTCACATCCCTCTTCAGTATGAAAAAAAATGTTTTTTAGAGGAAATGATTGTTGCTGACAGACTTTGAAATGTTTATCCGTGTTGATACTGAAGATGAGTAAACCTTTCTACTGTGTTGCACTAATACTAAGCGTTTTTGCATTAACTACAGATGAGTCTGAGAAAATATTCAGATCGTTTACTGAAGTAAATGTGAAATACATACAACATACAATATAAGAGTACTCTATTGCAAGTCAAAGTACTGCATTGAAATGCCACTTAAGTTTTGGTATCATTTGCTAAATGTACTTATAGTATAAGATTACTCATAATGCATAAAAATATACCCTGTTAACGTTTCAATATGTCCCACTGAAATTAAATGGTTTAGAAGAATAAGGTAACATAAAATGGAAATACTTAAGTAAAATAGAATTACCTCAAAATTGCACTTAAGTACAATAGCCTACTGAGTAAATGTACATAGCTGTACATCTTACTCAGCGATAACATCACACAATACATGAATATGCATAAGCACACTGCAAGAGGAGGCTCAGACACGTAAGAGGCTGCCATGTTTGAATCTGCAAGCTTTGTGTTTGTTTATTTTCTGTGTGTTGTCTCACAAGATGAAGCATAATTTGGTACCCGAGCCAAATTTCACACGTCTTTTGTGTCTGTATGTACTGTACTGTGTGAGTGTAGGACTGGCTGTAAAAAAAGACATGATGTGGGCGTTTGTACCTAAAAGTAGACGAGCTGAGTTCGGGGTGTGAATGCAAATACTGAATTTCTACTGTTGCTTAACAGTGAAAATATCTCAGCACGTGAGATACAGACATGCTAAATCGTTAGCATCCCGTTTGGATGACAGCAGACGGTGGAAACTCCCACAGTGGGCCGGCCATCATACACAGGCCTGTCCATCAAATACTTGGTCGCCATGGAAACAACCTAGTTCCAAGCTAGCGCGAGGCGGGTGCAGCGATATAATGGAAGACCAGACAGAGCCGTGGCTGCCTGGGGATGTGTTGCTTTTCAAGCGACTACCCTCGTTTTCGTCGTTTCAACAGAATGAGACTGGGGGGAAAGAGAGAGTGACACAGAATCTGGCTACAGTGCCAAAAATATGCACAGCTAGAAAACAATCTGATGTCTGCCGAAATCACAAACACACAGCGCATTTATAAGTGGTTGCTTTTCATTGACATTAGGCCGAAGCCACACTACACCTCTTTCCCCGTTTCTCTGGAAACGGTACGTAGGTTTAGAGAGGTTAATACAAGAGTTTCAAAGAGCTCAAGAAGGCTTATCTTATCGACAACACATAATCATTAAAGGTATTACATCCAGCTTACATCAGTCAGACAACAGGCAGAGATTACAAGCAGAGCCAGAAAAGAAGAGAAGGATATGGAGAACACGAGAAAAAACAAGACAGAGTCAAAGAGAGAAAGATGGAGCCATCTCGCTAAGCTGCAATTAAAAATGTAACACTAAAAGGAAGCAGACAGACTTGGTAAGCTTGTGATGGGATGACGTAGAGTTTCTAAGGAATTGACATCAAACTGTCATCTTATCAGTATAGTGATGATTGTGACCTCACACTGTCACACGTGTAAAAAGCATAATCACTGTATTGAAAAGTGTGAAGCCTGAAGGAAATGCTCTGACGAGAAAATAAATAGGAAAACAAACTTGAAGCCCGGGAGACACAGGCAGAGAGACAGAAAGACAGAGAGAGAGAGTACTAAAAGTGACAAAAGGTGAGCTGTTGGAGTCTGCCATTGCCATATGGTGAGGCTATGGGAACGCGGCTGCCATCTCCCATGAAGTGACAGGTACAGTGTGAAGAAATCTCAGGGAAGCCTTATGGGATTCAACACTGCTGTGAAAGCAGCAGCACAACTATATAAAGCTGCAAGTGACAGCCTCTGGCAGGGTTCAAACCCTCTGTGGATCAACTTTAATAACAATATACATGAAAATGTGCTGAACCTTACAGTTCGAAATGTTTTCATCACAATGGCACCTTCAAATCTGTTTAAAATAG